GGAACTGGCCCTCCCCTGACGATTTTTATCGGGCTGACCAGGCCGTCGTACCGGGCTGGGTAATAAGAGAAAAGAAAGTGGGGAGAGGGAGGGAAAGATAAAGAAGAGGAAAAGAAAAGGAAAGAAAAAGAGAAGAGAAAAATAAAGACAAGAATAAAAAGGAAGATATCATAATGACCACACTCACAACACCCTGCAACCCCTTCTCCACTTCAAAAACTGTCATAACTCCTTTGATCTATGCTGCCCGATGGCGTAACCACTGGGGGACGAGGGGAAAATATCTATTTTTGAAAAGTCTTCCCCACCCCTTTATAAATGCCCTTTCATCACCTAAAAGTGAAATGGTGAAAGAATATGTTCGTAATAAATAAAACCATGATGAAAATGCTTATATTTAGTTTAGTTGTGGCCTATATTATAAATAAGATAAGCCATATGTCGTATTGTTTTCTATATGGGGAGTGGGGTGGGGTGGGTATGGTAAATTACTAACCGGGAAATGAGGATTGTATGTTATTAATAATGATAATAATAATAACAATAACAATGACAATAATAATAATAATAATAATAATAATAATAATAATAATAATAATAATAATAATAATAATTATTATTATTATTATTATTATTATTATTATTATTATTATTATTATTATTATTATTATTATTATTATGATTATGTTGTAATGATGTTGTTTGTACTGTTCTTTAATTTTATTAAAGAGGGCCCCTGAATATCAGTTAAACTACTGGGCTAAATTAGAAGGGTTACCCTCTTTAAAGATGGTTGAAATAAAAAATAAAAAAACTTAAAAAAATAAATACCCACTCTGACCCAAGACCCCTGTTAGCGCCAAAGTGTGCCCTTGTGCAGACAGGGGATGTGCCCCCTCTGAAGCTGAAAACCTTGTTTTTGCAAAATAAATTGATAAAGTAAAGGTTATTAGAAGTGCCCCTGAACCAAAGAATGTAAATAAGTTGGGATCATTTCTTGGTTCAAGCACATATTATTGTAGGTTCATTAGCCATATGGCCAACAATTGTGCGCCATTGTATCATCTCTTAAAAGACGGTGTTAAATGGAACTGGAATGAACCCTGTAGAGGCATTTAAGTTACTTAAGAATGACTTTGCTAGTGACAAAGCGAGGCTGACCTTAGCTTGTGACGCTTCTCAAGTAGGATTGGGTGCGGTGCTATCAGTGATTAAGGATGGCAGAGAACATCCAGTGGTATTCGCCTCTCACACACTTACAAGTGCGGAGGGAAATTATGCCCAAATAGAGTGAGAAGCCCTAGCGATAATTTTTGGTGTAACTAAATTTAACCAGAATTTGAGGGGGGGGGGGCAAATTTGAATTGATTACTGATAATCAGGCTTTGGTGAAAATTTTTAAGACCACAGAAGGGTATTCCATCATTAGCGGCAGCCCGACTACAACGATGGGCACTAATTCTTATGGCCCATATGTACGATATAAATTTCGAAAATCAAACGAAAATGCCAATGCCGACATGCTGTCCAGGTTGCCTTTCAACGATCCAGAATGTCTTGCTACTGAATTAGCAGTAAATTATTTCTCGGTAACAGACGAATTACCAATTTCCTCATTGGGATGACATTGCCCAAGCCACAAGAGTGGATAGTATGTTATGTACAGTTCTACAATATATAAAGAACAGGTGGCCAAAACAGGTTGAAGATGGTTTGAAACCATATTTTTTAAAGCGCAATAAGTTAACCATTGATAGAGGTTGTGTCCTTTAGGGAGAAAGGGTTATTATACCTCTAACGTTTAGAGAAAGGGTCTTGGAGGAAATACACCAAGAGCATGTTAGTATTGTTAGAATGAAGGCTATGGCCTAGTCCTATTTCTGGTCTCCTGATATGGATAAGCAAATTTAGAGTGTTGGAAATTCTTTTCAAATTTGCACCAGTATTCATAGTGATCCTCCCAAGATGTTTTCCATGCAATGGCAAATGACAAATAAGCCATGGGAAAGAGTTCATATCAATTTTTTTGAGCTGGAGAGGGAGTCCATTACCTTTTAAGCCACTTCTGCCTCTTTTGAAGATGCGGAAGATATTCCCGTACCCACTTCTTCCAAAATATATCAACAAGGTACTATATTATTTTATTTGGTAATTTATATAGCATCTTCCTTTGCAGATATGAACCTGTCACCATCGTTTTGTGTGGTAATTATCACCCTTGTTGAAAAGACCAAGAGGCTGGCTTGCTACTGATTTCAAAAGTAGCAAATGGTTGGGTGTCAATACCTCGACATTGTTTGGTGTATTTGGGCATTCTGTTAATGGTCGTCCATTCCTAATTGCCTCACAAAATAAGGTTAGAAGCGACTCTTCATTTAGTTGAATATGTTGTTCTTTTAGCAATGAGTAGAGAATCTTTGACACTTCGAATCAGTCGCTCCCATGATCCTCCAATATGAAAGGCTGCAGGTGGGTTGAACTGTCATGAAGTACTTTCTGTAACAAATTCTCGTGAAGTTTGTGCTGATTCCACTTTTAATTTGCTCCCTCATTTCTCGCTCTGCTCCAACTAGGTTGGTGCCATTATCAGACTGGATGGCCCATAGCATTAATGCAGAAATCTGTTTTGAGGGAGAGAGAGCTAGCTCCAAAAGAACTGCTCTACTAGTCATACATAGTCATACAGGTAAATATAACACCGTAGCTTTTAATAATGGTCTAGCTTGTTTCACTTCAATAGAGCCAAAATAGTCCATTCCAACATTACTGAATGGAGGCTTTTCTGCACATAGTTTTTCAGATGGCAGATTGGCCTGTCAGGAAAAATTTTGTCCGGGGCAAAAATTGGTCCGGCGGACTGATTTTGGCCTCATAATTACTTGCCAAATGTAGTCTACATAAGCCAAAATCAGTCCGCTGAAATTTACTTTGCTGCACAGCAGACTTGGAAATATTACGTCCGCAATAGGTTTTGGCGGAAAGAACAATTCCTAAGCTTTTTACAGACGCGCATATGCTTATCTAGACAATCACAATGATGTCCCTAGCTGAAGCCTTAATTTGCATACATCACCCTATATAAGAGTTTAAGATCGGCATGTACTTGTGTTGATAGTAGAGCCTTCGCCGTTAGTGAATATTAGAATAACAGTAAGGAAAGACTTGGCAATGTACACAGACATACATTACCTCACATTGAGAGAAAATTTAATTTCATATTCATATATATAAGGCCTCCACGCCTCATATATTTGGTAGAAAGAGGGTGGGTGGGTGAACAACGTGAAAGTTTTTTTGAAATTTAACACAGACACACACAGTGGTTTCAAACCACCAATCACAATGATGTCCATCGCTGAAGCCTGATTTACAGACATCACCCTATATTAGGCTTTGTCTACACTATCAAATTTTATGTGACAAAAAAATGTGATGTGCCCATATATGGGCACG